AGTCTGTCACTTTCTTCGGCTTAAGAAAGGATGTGGAATTATGGGGGTTTTTTTTGTTTGTTTGTTTGGATGGTCAACACAAATCACACGGCCCTGCAGAACACTGGTATTTCCTAAGTGGGTTGGTGCCTTTTGCTTTAAATAACCTGAGGACAAAACCACATCTCCCTCAGACCCTCCATTACCACTGAAGTCCTAATTGTTCTGCGATGCCAACCCCCTCCAAACGATGCTTTTAGACTCTGTCCCATGTCCTTAGCTATGAAAAGGCCACGTGTCTTCAGCAACAGACAAATGTAGTTGTTAGTGTGTTTTGCTTTGTTATTCCTTTTTTCCCTCCCCTCCAGATTTCAAGTAATGGGGGAAGAAAAGGGAGAAATGAACCTTTCAAAGATTCCAGAAAAAAGATTTGTGTTCTTACAACAACAAAAGAGCCAGGCATGGTTGCTAATCCCAGCTACTCAGGAGGTAACGATAGGAGAATCCCAGTCCAAGGTTAGCCCAGGCAAAAGCTGTGACCCTATCTGAAAAGCAAACTAAAAGCAAAAGGGCTAGGGGTGTGGTCTAAGTGCTAGAGCACTTGCCTAGAAAGCATGAGGCTCTGAGTTCAAATTCCAGTACTGCCAAAACAAAACAGCAACACAAAACTCTGAAAACATCTCAACCCAATAGTGAAAATTCAGCTAAACTATATCTGAGCCTTCTAAAACTTTGTATCTGAAGCACATATGAGCTGAAGCAGTGGACAGAGGCATCTCCAAATTTGAAAATACTCTTACGAGACAGAGCACAGAAAATGTCCCTCCTTACTGCCACTCCACTGGTCAATTAGCAGATTTGCTGAACTCCAGTATGAATGCATTTATTCTAACACAAGCCTGCAGCTCTGACTCCGAAGGCACACCCTGCTAAGGGTCTCACTAGGAATCAGGCCCATGGGTGCAGGCCCACGTGAGAGCCCTATGCTCACTATGGCAGAATTCAGAATGTCCTTGCCCCAAGTGTAATTAATTATTAACTAAGTGGGAGAGCCTTGTCTAGCAGGCATGAGGTCCTGAATTCAACCCTTAGCACCACTACAAAAATAAATAAAGACAAAACAACAAAACACACGGTAGAGTGCTTGCTCTGTCATGGCTATACACCAGGGTTTCTTTTTGAAATGGTCATGGCTCAGGGCATTAGTAACATGGACTTTTCTAATCAATGACATCTATTCACTTTTGTAGCATCTGAGACCTCAGATACCAAAGACGGGATTTCCTAGTAATCAATCTTATCTTTTCTTCCCTCTTTCCCTCCTTCTTTCCTTCTCTCCTCCCTTCCCTCCTTCCTTCTTTCCTTTCTTCTCTCTCTCTTTCTTTTTATCTTTGTGTCTCTCCTCTTTCTGTCTCTCTTTTCTCTCTTCTCTCCTCCTCCTCCTCTCTCTCTCTCTCTCTTCTGGGGATTGAATAATCCAGAGATTTGTGTATTCTAAACAAATGCTTTATCACTCAGCCACATCCCAACCCCTATTTTGTTTTGAGGCAAGGTCTCCCTAAGTTGCACAGGTCAGCCTCAAACTCGAGATTCTCTTGACTTAACCTCCTGAGTAGCTGGGATTAGAAGCACATACTACCATGCCCAGTTCTCTGTCACATTTTCTGAATGAAAGTTATAATGGAAAGTCTGGCAAGTGTAAAAAAAAGAGTGTTTAATGGGTTAGATCCCTAGGACTGCAAAAACAAAACAAAACAAAGCAAAGCAAAGCAAAACAAAACAAAACAAACCAGTGCTTAAGATCAGGGCTTTCCTGTGACAGCAAGCCTGTGGGCTTGTCCTATCTGGGAGCACATTATAGGCAAGAGTACAGAAAGGACAGAGAGAAAAGGGTGGGAGCCTGGCCAGCCGCTTCAATTCTTAGGCTGGAATTCCCTACTAGGGGATGTGAAATCAGGACCTTCTAGATGGTACTGCCAACAGCCTTCCCCAAGTGAGGACTTCCACCTTCCAGCACAAGGCCACAGTCCCAGCAGGAGCAAGGACAACATCCAAGGAGCCTAGAACTTCCCTTTGTGCACTTATGGCACCAGTCCTGTCTGCGGTCCCTCCCTCTATTGTCCCTACTGTTTTCCTAAGTCATGGGGGGTGGGCGTGGGGCATCCCCAAGGAGCCTCAATCTTGGCACTAAAGGCCCTTTCTTCAGGCTGGAGCTTGCAAGAGTGGGAAGCGGTTGACAGAATTCCTGGTCTCCACATTGGGCATCCTTTTCACCCCCTGTATGTTTCTCCTTGCCAAGCTGGGCAGAAACAAAAGGGCCGAGGAAGTAAAAGCCAACCACTGGCGCCATTCTGCAAGCTACCTTAGCTGCTTCTCTCAACTCCCAAACATCTATCTGGGGCCTCAACACTAAATGCTAAACATTTGAGAACCACTTTAATATCGTGGGAACAAGATGCTTATATATTAGGTGTAGAAGTGGATTTGGGAGAAAGGTTTTTTCAAGATTTATCTTCTAGCTCACTCTATTGATTATTAACGTCAACCTGGCAGCAGTAACAGATCTATTGCCTTTGAGATTCCAAGAAGCTTGGGTTACACTATTAACAGGAGGGGTGCAGTCTGTGATCAGAAGACTTTGTGAGGCAGGCTAGAAGTAGGGAAAGTTCAGGACTCATATGTATACGTAGGTTGCCCACGCTTGGGTAAGAGATAGCCATACCACCCTAACCTGGCCAGGAACCACTCATGTCCCTCTCCACTCATTGATTATTTGGTGGGAATCACCTGGTTCTGTCCTTCCCATAGATTAGTGTACATTTTAAAAGCACCTAGAGGAGAGAAGCCCACTCTTTTGGCTGGCAGACTCCACCTTCACCCACCATGCTCCCTCTTGTATTTCCATTCCCTAACTTTTAATAAACTCCCTTTATACCCACGTGTCCTGCCATGGATTCTTCCACGTGGGACACAAAGAATTTGGAAGTCTTCTGATCACAGACTCCACCCTGCCATTAACAATACCTGATGGCTATGTGATGTCTATTTCATCTTAGGATATTTGGGGCTCTGGTTACAACCTCATCTATAGTAGCTGATAGGTTACTGCCTTGGGGTCCCTGGAGGTTGCCCAGTGAATATGAGGGTACCAAGCAGATGGTCCAGGACACTGGATTACAGTGGGGAGAACTGTAATCTCCAATCCTGAGCAACACACCCACTTCCAACTCTTTTCTCTTTTTCAGCAAGAAGAGTGGTTCTCAAAGTGTAGACCCTGGGCCAGCAGCCTCATACCACTTGTTGAAGGTGTGAACTCTTTCTCAAGCCTACCCATATCTAGAGTCTCTGGGGGAGGCCCAGCATTCTGCGTTTCAACATGCCAGCCCAGTAGCTCTGCCACATGCCTGAGAAGCCCTCCCCTAGAATTGGAAGGATCCAGGCTAGAGTGAAGCTGGATCCCCTGAGACTGGAAAAGAAGGCAGATGAGCTGCTGGACCCAGGCTCTGATCCGAGGCTGAACGCTCTAGTAGGACTTAAAAACCATTGTATGCTGTGTCCAAAAGATAAACAGGGCGTTGGATTTGGCTCTGGCTTTGCCATTCAGCAGGAGGCTGGGAGTGGTTATAATTCCAGGCAGGGGTCTTAGGCTTTGAATACCATTCTCTTTGATACCAGAAGACAAATTCTCTAGAATCTCCCTTGCAAACTTGTAAGCCTCAGATGGCCCATCTGTTGCATGATATACTTTTGAAGAATCCCAGGTAGGGATGGAGTTAGAGTAAACCCCATGGTCTGGCAGAAGCAGATCCAGGTTTTGTTGGGCCCGAGGCTTATCTAATTTTGGTGGCTCTATTTTTAGACAAACAGTATGCAATGTATTAGATTTTATAAAACACATAAGCATGGAAACACACCACTAGGGCCCTGCTAGGGCCTTAGCTTTTCCATTAAGGGGCCCTGAAGCCACTCTATGCAGGATGGATGGACATGCTGTCCCTAGTTCTTTCCACTTAAACTTTATCCTGGCTATGATTAGATGACACCAGCCCAGAAGTCAACTAGACAATTTTGAGCTCTCCTTCTGCTCCTATCTTTTCCTTTTTAGATTTTCTGTTATTGTTTTCAGTCACTGTCTATAGTCATAGAAATGATGCTGGAAGACGAGATGAGAGAGGCTGAAGGCTTCTTGTTTTCATTTCCTGCCTCAGAGGCAAGGTGAGCTCCCCCAGTCAATCAGGCTTTATTCATGTGCCTCAGGACGTAGTCTTTTTTATTTACACTTTTCTCAAATTTCCAAGCAATTTTGCCCCCCTCCTCAAACTTGTGCCTCTTCCTGTCATTTCAGCAAATGCATACCCACTCTTGAAGCCAGTCAGATCTGAAATCTCAGAGCTCTTCTGCCCTTCCCAATATCTAATGACAAAATCACCTGCCCAGGCTCACAGAAATAGACAGCAGAAGCAGATCTCCAATCTCTCAGTGACAAAAGGTGCTTATTATTCTGTTAGCCTGGTTAGCCTGTGACAGCAAGTCCCTCCTTCACTACAAAGCAAGAGTAGTCTATACCTTTTATAGTCCAGAGAAGTCTACCCAAGCAGAGAACATAGTGTCTTTTGCACCATGACCCTGAACGCCAGCTCTTCCTCAGTATAGTCCCTTTTAAGGACACACAAGTGAACCCCACTTTCCGCCCTTGGAGCTGACACTCCAAGGTGATCATGGCAGTGACCACGGCAGTCAGCATTCTGCAAGGCTCTGGGGTACTTGAAGGGACATATGGAGGACCAACAGTTCACCTTATACGGTGAGGTTGCACGGGTTCTCCCACCCTTGAAGGCTTCTTGGCATTTTTCTTGGACTCCCATTTGGCCCTAAACCTCCGGAAACTAGAGTTAGCTTTTGGCAAGTACACCGAACCATCGCTGTCCTCCCGCCTCCCTGGGGTCCACTCTGGTTGAAGATCCAGGTCTGCAGGGACTGCTCCTACTGTCCCCGGGAGGCATGTCACCGGCCAACCCTACCTGAGGACAGCAGGCTCCCGCTGCTGCCACCAATGAGCTTGCCCTTGCTTCCCATATTAGCCAGTTTCGAGGTCTTCAGTGTCCCAGTCTCCGTCAGGTCGATGGCTATCTCGCTCAGGCTCCGTGCCGCATGGATCTTGGACTGGAATGGAAAGGAAGCAGAATATGGAGTAACAGTTTAGCTCAAGGAGGAGTCCGAAAGCACTTGCCTGTCATCCTAAAATACAGCAAACTGGCTCATCTCCTGGATCTGCACCCCCTTGGTCGAACCACTAATCACCAAAACTCTCTGAAGGCGCTAAGGTGGCTCATAAATTATGCAAATAACACAATTCCACTACCTAGGGCTTCGTAGGCTATCATAGTGCTTACGAGCACAGGCAGGCAGAGCGTGGTGGAGTATACCTGTAATCCCAGCTGCTCTGGAAGCAAGTGATACGAGGATTTTGGTCCAAGGCTGGCCCAGGAAAAATTATAGAGACCTTATTTGTAAAACAAACTGAAAAGCAAAATGACTGGCAGCGTGGCTCAAGTGGTAGAAGCATGAGGCCCTGAGTTCAATCTCTAGTACCATCAGAAGAGAGAGAGAGAGAGAGAGAGAGAGAGAGAGAGAGAGAGAGAGAAAGAGAGAGAGGGAGAAAGAGAAAGAAAAGCATGGATTTGGGGAAAGTTACTTATCTTACTGAGCCTCAATGTTCCAACTGTAAACCAGGGAAGTGACCACACAGGATGGGTTGGGGACAGAGAGAGGTAAGGTGTATGCAAGGTGTTCCCTCCCTCCTTTCTCCTTCTCTTCTCCCCTCCTCCCCTTTCCTTTCTGCCTGACAGCAATCAATGGAAAGTTCTTTATAATTATCTTGTGCTTAAACAAAAGAAAAAAGAATTTTCAGCTTTCTAGATGAAATAGATTCATGTCTGATCAAACCCTTTCAAACTGTAGCCATGTAGCCAGGGAATGTTTAAATGATGAAGTGCCCACATCTTAGACTTGTGTGCACTAACCACAGTGTGTGTGGATAGAAGCTTCTAGACCAACTGCTCATGGGGACACTCACCAAAAGTGCCTGACACATACTTTGCTTCTGTTTTGATGCTGAACGTAAGTTCCAAAGTCCTCCTGTGATATTCAAACTCCACTCAGCGCAGCGATGAATCAGTCCCATTTGGCTAACAGCCACGGAGGTGCGAATCAGCAGAAAATGGTCTGTACTCACGACTGTGTCCATCAAATTGTTTTTAGCAAAGCTACCTGCTTTAGTTACCACTTCCCGTGAGTGAAAGTGTGTTGTGTTTCTTGTATGTGTTTGGCGTTTTGTCCAGGAAGTCAATTTTTACTACAGCATGAACTTCAAGAAAACCACTGTAAATGGTGATGTGACCCACACACTTGCTCATCTGCCTGTCTCTCCGTGGCCACTGCTGTGGCCTGCATGGATGCAGCGAGAGGAGGTTCATAATGGAGGTTTCCAGTCGCTCCTTGTGCTGCTCATGCCTGGCTATGGGAAATTAAGTTCTTCCACACCCAGAAGGCACCAGCAGGCAGATTCTGAAGGCCAAGAAGGGGCATGCACGCCACGGCCCTTCTCCCTGATTTACTGTCTTCCCTTCTGTGCTCAGGGACCCTCATCTGTCGCACAGAGGCTGTCTAGGCCCCTGAGGTCTTGCCCTTCCTCTGGCCTCAAGCTGGTGAGTGACAAGGACTTCCACTCTGAGCATTTTCCTCCTGTTAACAAGACCAGCATCCAGTGGCTGGAGGAAACCCTGAGGCTTTTGGGTTCACATGATGTGAACATGCTTCCTTCTCCTCTCTCTCTCCCATTGGTCCTCCCTCAGCTTAGTTCCCCTTTCTAACCTCCATGTTCTTTCTTGGATTTAGAATCAGTTTGACTTCCTCAGATTAGGCTCCCTGGTTCAGAACGCAATCCCAGCTGCCAGGCTTTGTAGGATTTTGGCTTGGAGCAGAAAGCAAGAAAGGCTTTATTTCATGTTGACCCAGCCTATATGCAGCATCCATCTGGTTGTGTTTTATCCTCCAAGCAAGCAGAGCGAGCACAATCCATTACTTCCTTTCTTTCTGCATGACTCTTTACCCAAAGGAGCCCACACTGAAACAGTTATGCAGTGATAACTCATGAAGTCCCAGCCGAGCACAGCATCGTGGTGAGGGCCCCGGCTCTGAAGTCAGAAAGACCTGGATTAGGATCCTGACTCTTCCCAATCAATCAAGGTCAGACCTTAATCCTTGACCTTTTTGGTCCTCAGATTCCTGTTTGTAACATGGAGATCTTAAAGCCCACATCACAGAGTTGGGATGAGAACTAAGTTAGGTTATATATGTCAAAGCCATGGCAATAGGAATAGGATATAAATTAGGGTCTGGAAGTAATTTGCTAAATGAGGTTAGATTGATGGCACAACTTGGTATTTTAAGGATCTCATTAATCACATGGAAAACTGGTACTCTAACCAGCCCCCTCCACTTCTGCCATACATCAATCTCAGAGGCAGGAAATAAAACTATGCAAGAGGGAACAACAGATACCCTTTCTAAGGGAAACTAAATTCTTGGAAGCTTCTAGAATTTTCTAGAATGGGACTAACACAATGGTCCAACAGACTCTGTGGAGAGCAAGAACCAAAAAGAAAATGAACACTGTCTAGGAGATTCTTGCCCCACAAAGAACCAACATGAAAGAGCCCCTAAACTTCCAAATGTCTGTTCTAAAGGTCTTGCCCTATCACACATCACTCCATTTTATTACTGGTGCTCCATAAGTAAAGTTTCATTTTCCCTACTATGCTGTAATTCTGCTTTTGATTCTAGATAGAATAAAGAATAGAAAATTGGATCAGAAGAAAGAAAGAAAAAGATTAAGAAGAAGGAAAGATGTTTGTGTTGGGGGCAATTCCAGAAGGCCCTACTCTGAGATCAGAGGAAGTATCTGATGGTTCTTCTAAACAATTTGAGCTTTCCAACATTTTCTCTGAGTCCAGAAGACATTCCTTGGCTCTGGGCTGCAGAAGTTGCTGGAAACCCACTGACAACATTTCTGATCTTTGGGGTCAGCATATATAAGCCACCAATTATAATTAATGCCTGCGTAGCCTCTCATGGTGAATGAACCACAGGAAACCAACCAATACAGTTCTCCTGCACTCTGCCCTTGATCGATGGTGGAAAGTTCTCTTTATGCTCATGTCTAGGGAGCTGATGAAGTAAGGGGTGAAGGAGAGAGAGAGAGACAGACAGACAGACAGACAGACAGATTGGTTTTCTTAAATGGTTTTCATGGTGATCCAAGTACCAGGGCAGCACATGCCATCTTGGCTATACCCTCCCACTCCCTCCCATCCCCCATAGTGGACTCAAACCACTAGAGCGTGCTTGTCTTTCTGGTGTTGATAAACATCACCTGGGAGGCCTGGGCTTCGCTGAAGCACTTCAGAGAAAGGAAAGGTTGGCAAAGCCCCATACAGTAGAATGTGAAGCCATGCCAGGATGCCAAGCCCACACTGGCCTTTAAAGCTTTTCATCCCAGGCCTGTCGGGCATCACTTACTCAGAGGCCACACTGCCCACCAGAGAGGGATCACATCATTTCTCTGGAAAGAACAACGCTCCAGAAATGAAAGGTGTTGGAGAGTAATCTCTGAGGAATTTCATTATCTCTGATTTAATTTGTGGACCTTTCAGATAATTTAAACTTGATACAAGCATTGGCCAGAGCACTGTATGTTAACTTAATAATGATGTTAATAAAAGACAACACATATTTCCTAAAACAGTTTCACAAACATTGTGTCATTTGGCCAATTACTAATTTAGGTCAGGAATCTCCTTTTCTTTTCTCTAACTGGGGAAAGCAAAGCATGTGATGAAAGACCTGCCCAAGGTCATGGAGCTGGAAAACAGAGTGAAATGATGTCCAAGGAGGGGAACTTGATCCTCACCAGTCTATGGGGATGAGGAATTGGTTTTCTTGGAGAAGTACAAGGATTCTGGAACATTCTTGACCATGCAAGAACTCCTGGGGAAAAATTCTACTCCTGGAAGTATATTTTCTTCTGTCTTTCAGGAAGATTGAGAGGGACAGCTGAGATCTTCCTAATGCTGTGACCATTTGACTTGACCTCTTATAAGATGCTGCTTGTTAATAAGTGATATGTGATCATTTCTTTCTGAGGTTCACTTGCTAAATCAGTGACTGACCTGGAAGCCTGCTGGGTCAGGCTTCTCACATACCAGAGACATCCATCTTTGAGAGTGGGCTGAAGGACTCCAAGAATAGGCTACTTAAGAGAGCCAAGGGGGCTCTGCAGAAAACGGACCTCAAACAGCTGACATTATACTATCCTTTAGCTGAAATGTGCTATTTCTCTTCCCCTTTTCAGAGTGTGGCGTCAATACCTGGGAGGTCTGCCCTCAAGGGGAATTGGCAGTTGGGTTCAGGAGAATTGCCCAACTTTCCGCCCCTTACCACCCGTCACCCAACAGCACAGAGGATGAAATCCATGTTCAAAGGTGTTGACCTCCAATGCCCATCACTGGAGAGCCAAATGCTGGCCCCCGCCCACTGTCTCAACATACAGCATGAGTCAAAACCCTTTGGCCCTGTTTCTTTTGATCTAATCAAGCTTCAAATTCCTGTGCCAGAGCCCATCCTCACTAGGAGAGCTGTGGAATATTCTCATGGTTCCCAACCAAAAAAAATACTGCCCCCTAGGATTAGTCACCCTAGACTGTGACCAAAAAAGGAGTCAGGAAGAAGAGGAAACACTACTTTACAAAGGAGACAATGAGCACCACATTAAAAACTGAATAGGGATGGGGGTTCATGTCTTCCTGTCCTCTTACTATTTTTCTTTTATCTCCCATTTGACTCCAACTTGCTCCTCCAGGGAAAGGAAAATAAGGCAAAAGAGAAAGAGCCCAAGAGGGCATCCATCCAGCGATTTAGGGTCCAGTAAGTACCGGGTCCTGCCACCTCTCCAGGACTCACGCAAGGGGAGAAAAACCTCCTATGGGTCAGACCCACTTGTCCTGGGGCCACAGCTGGTTTCTCTACAGAGTGAGACCAAGCCAGCGGGATCCTGAGAAAAGTTCAGAGCCCATCTTGGCAGAGCTGTTCACCTGAGGATAATGGATGGGAGTGGCCTGTAGGGGGTGGAAGAGGGGGCAAAGCGTTGCTATAAGCCCTGTGTGAACCAAGGACACGCCATTCTCCCACCCACCAGAAAGCACAGCCATGTGTCTGGGCTGGGGGCGGGTGAGCTCTCAGGACAGATGGCTGTTTACCAACGCCCGCCTGAGGCTTTGGGCCTACCTGAGGGAAACAGAGCTGTTGCTGGTTTTGTTTTTTTTTTTCTTTCACTTTTCCAGTTTTGCATTTTTAAAAAATGGAGCTGGCAGTTGGAAAAGCCTGGAGGGTTTTCACAGCAATTACTCTGAACAATTAGTTGGTGTCTTCTGAGACCCATTACCTTTTTTGTTTTTCTTTTTTCAAAAAGAAAACAATATGCCACTGTTTAAACACCAAAAAGAGCTTGAGGGCCCTAGGACGTCTCCTGAGGTCCAAAGCAACAGTTGGAATTACTTGCAAGGGCCCTCCTGCAGGCGGCTTGAGCAGCTCTGACAGTGGCTGGGCCACAGCCACTGACCAAGCAGCCCTGAATGTGCACTCTTAAAGAATTAGTCTTGTTCCTCCCACCTGCAGCCCAAAGAGGCAAGTCCCTACCTGTGGAGTCTCGACACAGCACCTCCCTCCCCACCCATCCAATTCCCATCCCTAAACTGCTGCCCTGAGGCCAACTCACCACCTGGTGAAAGGTCTGCCCACTCACCTTACTCTGCTTTCTGTCCAGATAGAACTGGTGTTGGCTGATCGCCATAGCCCAAATGGACTTGATCAATGCTGGACACGCATACCATGTGTGCACTGCAATGCCACTGTGCCCGAAAGTCCTCCTTGTCACCGAAGCCCTGGGAAAGTGAGCATCATGAGTTTCTATCTCCATTATGAGGGGAGGAACCATTCATCAGTCAAACAGCTTTTAGTGTCAAATCCTACTGGGTCCTAAAAGCCCTGGTGTGAAGGAGACAGATAAGCTTACACACAAAGGTAGGTACACACACACACACACACACACAGACACACCAAGGCACACATGTGTGCCATAAGGTATAAAAAGTGACTCCTCAGGGTTCAGATTTGGTCAAGCTTCTTCCTTGACTGGGATAAGACAAATCAGTCTAAGTCACTGGATGGTACTTTCTCATTTTGAGCCCTTGGCTTGGGGCCAAGATACCTCAGACATAGTAAAAGCCTTTGATAATCCTCTTTGCTAACCAAGCAGCATTACCAATGGTGAAGATGAGCAACTGCCACAGTAGTGGAAGGAAATGGCACTTCCTACATCACTCTAACTCAATGTTCCTTGAAAGGTCTGGTTATCTATTTCAAGTCTACCACGGAGGCTTGGAAGAACGAAGTGAGGGAAGGCAGAGAGAAAGGAGCATATATGAGTGTGTATGAATGCAGCAGAGAGAGGCAAATCAGAGTTTAGAAATCATGGCCAGAAGCCCCATCTCAGTATAATTCACATTTTCATGGAGTTTGGGGAAAAAAGTGTATGGCCTTATTTTCAGTGAAGTATATTTTATAGGCTAGGCAGATTAAATCTGAAAGCAAATGAAACCTGAGGATGTGTATATGCACGTGTGTGTGTGTGTGTGTGTGTGTGTGTGTGTGTGACAGACAGAGAGAGAGAGAGAACTAGAGAGTGAACTAGAGACAGAGAAAGAGAGAAGAGAAGGTAATGGAGAGGTGGGGGTGGGACTGGAACATTTGATCTATATGACAAAAGAAGAAAAACGTGTGCTCTCAAGACATCCAATTTGAAGAACTGTGAGGCCATCAGGATTTATGCATAGTAGCATTTGTTTTCTTCAAGGCCCATTTTCTCTTGAAGAAATCTTGAAGTTGCCCCTATCATCTTACTCTGGAGGATTTAACAGTGAGACTTCTTCATTCAAATCTGGTAATTAGCAATCTGATGCTAGGTAGGGTTTTCCTTCCTTTGGTTCAAACAAAAGTAAAGGGAAGAAATGCTGGTGCATGAAACACAGCAGAGTTGAAAATAATTGAAAAGGAGGCTGTGAGAGAGTGAGGCCAGATTCCCACCGATTTGAAAAAGAATGGTGACCTAAGCCCCACTTTGGCTTCTTTGACAATTGCTAGACTTGGGAGTAAATTAAAAAAGAAAATTTTTTTCAGAAAAGCTTAAGCAGATAGAAAGCTAACTTGAAGTGCGTTTTCATGAAGGTGGTGAGAGCTGTAAAGATGGAGTGCTCCTAAATTTCAGGTAATGGGAACAAGGAAGAGCTAAGGGGCTTATCTGGTCTGGGGAGTTAGTGGCAAGGCTTCCTCTAACTCAGAGCCTCTCTAACTTATCTCCTTTATTCTTCTCTCCTTTCAGGCCCTTCCTAACTTTTCTATTTTGCCCAAATCTCAGAAACTATTTGCCAAACCTAGAGAAAGGCAGAAACAAAAGTAGGTAAGTAGTTAGGTTGTATAGGAGGACAAGGTCCACTGCATGTCCTCTGCCCCTTGGGGCAAGGATCATAGAAGTTGGGACCACATCTGTCCCAATCTTGCTCAGAAGACCTGCTCTGCCCTGAGTGATGTCTCCGTCATTGTGGTTTCCCACCAATGACATCTTCATTAACAGATTATATTTGGCATTTCCCATCCCATGAACTTGGGGAAGGAGATGACCCTGAGTCTATAGGCAAGATCAACACCAAGGTGAGGTCAATTAAAACCTTCCCTGCTCCCAATAAGCAAAGCAACAAGCAATAGGGTGACACATGCAACCAGGCTGTGAAAAGAGGACTCAATGAGTGAGAAGGCCTAGTATAGCACTGGCTCTGCCAGGAATTAGCTGGCCTGAAGCAACTGCCTTTCATTGGGCATCCAGAAAGCATGTCTTCTTCCCTGCTGAAGTCAGGGTGGGCTTCCACCTCCACCCGCCCTGGGCACCTCTCCTTTCCTCTCTCCCTGCTCATCTCTAGGGAGAAAAAAAAAAAAAAAGAAGGCAGACTCAGGGCTACCTTTCCTGAGGGGAGATGGTTATGCTCCAAGCTCGGGCTGCCACCTTTGGACTCCTCCCCTCCCCTCATCTATCCTCACCAGATCTTCCCACACCTCATCTCAGTTGAGGACCATCTATCCAATATCTTTAGTTCCCTGAAGGTCCACATGCTGCCTTGAATCCTAGACACTCTTTGGGGTTCAGCTCAAATCTCCTCTCCTCAGGAAAACCTCTCCTGACCAGTTGGTCTTTCTTTGGTGTCTGCATCCTTCAGCACTTATGATTTATGGCATTTGGCACCAATTTTGCCTCCTGTAGTGTATCAGTAAAACACATGACCTATGACCTCAGACTTCTGAGTTCAAATCCTGCCTGTACCATGTACTACTGTTTGTAACTTAGAGTGGGTTACTGCATTTCTGTGCCTTGGTTTCCCACACTTAAGTGCAGGAATAATGGTAGGACCTACCTTCTGGGTCACAGTGAAGACCCAGTGAGAGAATGTGTGCAAGTGTTTAGATGGGTGCCTACACCTCCAAGTGTCATTTCTCTCTTCCTCCTGTCTCCCCAACCCTGCTAAAAATTCTTTAAGGAAGAGGACCCCACTTCAGTCTCTTCTGTATCTGCCACATTGAACCCAGGGCCCCACCATGGGGTTGACCTCTCTTGTTTAATAAGCCAAAAGTCCAGTTAATGGTAATACAAGGTTTGGAGCCTTACCTATGTCTCTGGACCTGGGGAAAGGGAAGAGAATTTAGTACCACATTGCTGATAGATGACTGATGTAGAAAGAACACACATGCTCCCTCATGCATGGTTTAAGGATTTGTCTAAGGTGCCTCTGAGTGACCAGAAATTCCAACAGAGCACGGGCATGGAGAAACTGTCCACTCATGCTCATCTAAATGATCTGATTTTTATTTAATTTTTTTTCTCTGCCAAACATCCTTTTTTGCATCTGACCCATTGTTCAGAATCATTTCACTCTTTTTTAACTCTTAAATTTCCCCTTTTCTCACATGCCTAAGAATATGGTCTGTCGTAGTTCATTTGGAAAAACAGCAGTACATTTCTTCTTGGCTGGATTATTATTTTTGGCATCGACTGCTCCCTTTTTGACCTGGGCACATGGATTGGCATGTGCTCTGTGTAGGAGGGTCGTCAGACCATGAAACCCATCCCAGGACCACTAACTATCCTTTGATGTTACCACCTGTATCTGAGTGCAGATGCTCATAAGCTCTAGAATGTTCTCCACTTGCTAGTGGGTAGGGATAAGCTGTTGCCTACTCAAGACGCTGTTCCATGCAGATTACAAGGTGAGGTAAGCAGTGCTTCTACCCCCCTGGGTTATCACCAACTGCAGGAACCTGGGCTCTGCCCTGTCATTGGGGGCCAAGTCTTATCCAGCCCCCAGAACTCCCTGGGAGGCATGGCCGCTTGTTTCATAGGCTCAGAAGCCATGTGGGTTGGTGCCAGCTCTTCCTCCTAAGCCCAGGGCTTGGTGTTAACAGCACCTAAAATCCACCTTGGCTCCTCTACAGCAGCTGATGTTTTGACTGTTGGTCCCAGGCCTACCTCCGTGTTGTCAATCGGCTCTCAGACCTATGGGAAGTGATTTCTTCTTAGGCCAGCAATTCTGCTGCCGGGTGGGGGTTGTCGACAGCTTTAGGACCACCAGAAGACAAAGAGGAAAAGCAGAGGGCAGGAGCTGTGCAGACCCCTTCCATGCCTGCTTGCTCCGTTCCAAACTGGAGCCCTATTGTCTGGCATCTGACTTGAAACTTGGATTTTTGTCCTGGTGCTCTCAGCGGGTAAAATGTGGTGGAGGGATAAATAATTGCATTTCTCTCATAACCACCCTCAGTGCTGACATCCTAAAATTACTGCTCCTGACTACAGTTGAGCACAGCTCCTTCCCTGATATATTCCTTTTGGTGTCCACTGTCCTGCCTGAAACCACTCAGAGGCTCTAAGAAAAGCCTGTGACCTCCTTTCTGGGACAGCTTCCTAAAGGGAGACTTAAGCCCCTGCCTAGTCTAACTTAGTGTTTGTTACAAAGTGCCACAAAACTTTGCTCCAGTGCTCCAGCATGTGCGACAACACACGTGTACCCTTGCACTCAAACCCAGAGCAAATGACATGTACCCAGATGAGCCGGCCATGAGATCGCTACTTTCACACACACGCTGAACCTACCGCAGCTTAACTGTCTGATTTGAACTCGGTGCTGCACAATTCACCAACCCCATACACACCTCGGGGTGAACGCGAACAATGACACCCACAAATAATAGCATAAATAATCTGCCACGCAGACTGGCAAGAAAAAGGCTCTGCGAGCTTACCTGCGGGGGTCATGGACTTCCACGGAAAACTTCTTTTCTCTGAAATACAGGTTTTCCAACTGTCTCCATTGGAATATCTGGGCAGAAAACAATGTCGTTTAAGCTCAGGAGTGGCGGGTTCCCCAGGCTGATGTCCCTTCTTCACCGTTTTAACTTTTCACAGCTGGCAGTTTCCTTATCAAAGCAGAGACCTTACAGTGTGTGCCTCCTCCTCCGCCTTGTGCACACACACACACACACACACACACACACACACACACCCAGCAGCTCTCCAGTTCAAATCCAGGCACCGTGGGTGTGGATTTTCCTGCAGATTTCTTAACGGGAACAAAACAAGTTCTTTGCAAGTTGTTCCCCCTCGGTTCGCCTTTGTTGAGTTCTCCAAGACAGTTCCCAGCCCCGCAGACTTTCCCCTCCAAGGAGAGGGGGAGGGGAGGGAGCCCAGCAGAGAGGAGGAGGGGAGGGGAGAGGGAGCAGCTCGGAGCACAGAGCGCTCAGAAGGGAGCGGTAGCCATCTGTGCATGCGGAGCACCGAGCAGCGCTTCCTCCCCTCAAGTGCTGAAATGGGAAGGCGTTCAAATTCCCAGCCTCCCATCGGGACTCCACTTCCTGCCGCTAATGCAAGAGCCTCCGACCAACTCACAGGAGAAGGGCGGAGGCCACCCGGACCTTAGTTTGGGGCAGGCAACTCAAGATCACACTATGCGTCAGTCACGCTCTTTCTTTGTGCAGCACAAAGAAAAGCAAGAGTTGTGTGGCTGGAAGGACAGGCAGCAGAGCTCTTCCAGACAGAAGGACCAGTGAAACTGCGAGCTAAGGAGCCCACTGGCTGGGTGGGAAGCAATGAGGGGCATCGGATTGCTCCAGGAACAGGGCGCCTTTTTGGCTGGATGAAAGTGAAACTTGCTTACCTCTCTGGGAAATGTCACAAGACGATGAAGTTATGTGCACACATCTTTGTATTCCCTCCCATATACTTCAGAGGAAGACAAGAGCAGGAATCCTGGTCTTATCTTGCCCCCCCACCCCTACCTCCATGGCTGATTTTTTTTCCCCTCAGGATCCACTTTCTCTGCCCACTGATTTGGGGTATATGCTCTTTCAGGTTTCATTCCAGATCCAGAATCCTCTAATGGCAGGCACCTGGTCTTCTCTGATCTGCTTGTTTCCTCACCTTACAGATGTGAGAATCACAACTTTCATTTTCCCAGACCCAGGACGCTTGCTAGGACAATGGATTCATCACCCAAGTAAAACTGGGCTGGAATAAAAACTGGTTTCTAGAATGGCTGCGTTTGTTCTTTTATCTTTACAATCTCCTCTCCGCAATTTTAAAACTATTTTGTCTGCGTGCATAACAGGAAAGGGGCATCTGTTGTCTCTTCTTAGAGAGACACTGCTTTCATCCATAGCTCACAGGACAGTTCACTCTGAAGTGCAAGGAAACTGTACTTCTCTTTCTCTTTAAGGGTCAATTCCAAATGGGTGGAGAGACATTTCAGGGAAAACAAATGATCCAAAGTCTGCACTGGCTCAGACAGCTTTGTGTCCAGGCTCCTTCAGGAGGGGCTTTCTGAGGAGCAAAGTTCTCAGGCCCCCATCGGATGCTCTGCCACCTTCAATGGAAACACCCAAGTTCCTCTCTCATCCCGGTTATTGTGTATTTATAGACATTTTACCTTAATTTCACCACAGCCACAAAAAACACCAGAACTAATAGGCTCCACGACCTTGGCCTCATAACCTGCAGGTGGAATGCAGACCAACATGACCAGGGTGGAGACTTTGGGGTCTGACTACATCTGTTTGAATTCAGGCTCCACTGTGCTCAAGCCAGCCCTTAGGCAGGTTGCAGAGGTTCCTTTAGCCTCAGTTTTCCCATCTGTAAAAGGGCAATAAAGGCCCTTCTAAGGTAGATCTTAGCAGCAATAGATTCTTAGCACAGTGTTGGCACAAAGAAAGCACTCAACAAACTTAGCTCTTACTATGATTCCCAAATGTTCCTACTTCTCCCAAATCTTGGCAAGTAAGAGAATAACTCCAGAATAGCCAGAATTATTTCCTTAAATTTTCTAACTTGGCTTTTTTGTTGTTGGTGGTGGTGCTGAGGTTTGAATTCAGGGCCTTGCACTTGGTGGGCAGGCTCTCTACCACCTGAACCATGTCCTCAGCCCTTTTGGTTTTATTTATTTTCTGAATAAGGTTTTGTTTTTACGCCTGAGCTGACCTGGACCCTGACCCTCCTATTTACATTTCTTGAGTGGTGGGAGTGATAAGCATGTGCCACAACATCCAGCTTTTTATTGGTTGAGATGGGGGGGGAAGAGGGTCCTTACAAACTTTTTGCCCCAGCTGGCCTTAAACTTCGGTCCTCCCAATCTCCCCCTCTCGAGTAGCTAGGATTACAGGCGTGAGCCATTGTACCTGGCCTAACTCAGGTCTTGACTTGGGGTTTTAAAAAGTTAAATTAGATTATATATATGCTGCAAATCTGTACGTATGAAGATTTAGTCTTCCACCCCATGCTCTTTCCTCTTTCCTGGAAATAAAGGGGTGTGGATGATCCTTGACCAGACAAAGTGGGGCCTTGGACATGACTGGCTTCATGAGTGTACGACCAAGGGTTCCTTGCTCAGAAGGGTCCTGTGCTTGTTGAATGCTCTGTGGTTGTCATCTTGAAATTCCTAACATGTTTTTCTCAAATGCATTTGCATTTTGCACTGGGCTAGCCTATGATGTTGCTGGTCCTGGCTCTGTTGGTGCTGGCAGGCTCTGTTCTGGGCTCAACAGCGTAAGTTGGGGAGTAAGGGGCTACCCTGTGTCTGATGGGCAGACTGGGGAGGTTAGACTCTTCGCCTCACAAGGGGAGGAAAAGAAGTCACACCAGGCATGAGCATGCATGAGAAAGTCCCACTTGTGCCTTTTACTTGAAGCCCCCTCCCTACCTGATGAAGAACCCCATAGTAAAATGCTCAGAGGGTTGGTTTCCTAGCAACAGCTCCTCCCCAGATCCTTGCAAAATAAAATGCAAATCCTTTGCTCTAAGTGGTCCCTGATGCTGTGTGAGGTGGAGGCGCACATGTTTGCCAAAGGGCCCATCTGGGCTTGCTGTCTGCCTGCATACGTGGTCACTGTGACTTCTACTCTCAGCAGTGAATCCTGGAGTCCTGGCTCCCAGGCACGTCCCTAGGATGATACATTGATGTAGAACTTTTTGTAACAGGATACAGAACAATGGCTTCCCTTCATTTCTATTTTAAATACAATTCTATTTTTTTTTTATTTTGCAAATGAAATAGGTGAATGAGTGGGTAGTTTGTCAGGACTGGACTGCTGCAAGGGGACAGGAGAAGGGAAGAAGAAGATGTGTGGGAACACTGGCTGATGATGCTCTCCTCCTCACTTAGAGGAGGGAGCAGGGCTTGGGAGCTGGGCACACAAGGAGTGAGAATATGAGTGCAGGAAGGACAGAATGGGCAGGGACAGTTGCTGCTAGCTGCCAGGCCTGGGTGTCACTTACTCTACAGGTACATGTTGTTTATGGGGGTCTCATTTCTGCTCATTGTCCCTTGTGCCCTACAGCTTAGAGCCCTCCTGCTCAACACGCCACTCTCAGGCTGGCAGAGCAAAAACAAGAAGCAAATAAGCAAACAAAAGGTGTCCTCATTTCCCTGTTGTAAACAAGGTAAGGTGGGCTCTGACTGCTGGCTTTGGGCCACTCCAGAGGACATTCCTTGGTTTGGCTATGGGGTAGCCCTTGTATCCCTGCCACCACATAAAGATGTCATTATGATTTGCGACTCCACATAAAGACACTTAATAATCAGCGTGACAACTGAGCTAGTTCCCTAAGGATTTTGTGTAACTCCTACAGCCAATCATGCCCAAGGAGCTAATTAAAAGCCCAACTGTGTAGTTCTATCAGTAATCAAAGGATGTATTAATTAATAGCCATTAAGTCAAGGCTTTTCTAACATACTGCAACTTTCTAAAGTTCGGCAAACATCATTTCTTTGATCACTTAGCATCCTCCAAGAAGAGTGAATAGGGAATTTTCTTGGGGGAAATCAAGGTCCAGAGAAATAAGGAGAAAACTGCCTAGGGCCACACAGCAAGTTAGTGAAGGAACCAGAAATAGAAGTCAAGGGCACCTGGACCATTACTCCAACCTCTAACTATGCTACTTTTCCTACGAGTCCACCAATGAGTGGGAACTGCTCTCACTCACTAATGGGCGGTTAACTTTCCAAGTGGAATGATTTTCACAAATGAGCAACAATGTGACTGTGAGTAGGAAGCACAAAAGCAAACTTTTAAAATCTTACATGATGGCTTTGCCTTCCTTTCATACTGTCAGTGATAACAAGTATTACATTCTTTTCTTGGAGACCCAGCTTCCTCTGGTTTTCTATATAGCAATTGCCTCAGCACTCAGTAAGTTTTCAGTCCAGGACTAAGAAACAACAATAGTCATGACTAAGACCTGCGTGAGTTGATTTGGGCTTGCAAAGAAAATGAAAACTTAGAGAAACCATCAGGAAGTTATTTTATTGAGATAGTGTCTTGTCTGTCACCATCATTGGGATCCTGGCAGGTCCTAGTAGGGGCTCTGAGTTTCTGACATGGACTTGCTGTGATTCCCACTGTGGTCATGTGTCCTCCACGTCCCCGTTCTGGGACTCAGCATCCTCATGCACAAAACAGAAGGTAGGACACATTTCTCCATGGAGAGCGCACAAGAGCAACTAATAAATACTGCCCTCGAGCCCTGAGTACAAAGGGGATGCTAAAAATCCCCAAAGAGCAGGGGCCTGCCTACTGCTTCCTATTAGCTGGCCCACTGGATTCCCACACCCTGTGTATGGCTGAGGGCTGGGGCAAAGGAAGGGGCCTGCATTTCGATGGACTTCCTCTGCAGCCGGTGTTTACTGAGCTCTGAAGTAGCATGGGGAGTAGTGGGTGAGCTGTCAGGACGATGTGGAAATAAAGACTTGAAAGGAAGCTTGGTTTACTGGTTCTGATTCTTGATCAAGACTTCAGGGAGCCTTGTCTTCCTTCTGTCCCCAAGGCTGAGTCA